ATGCTATAATATATTCTTAATCCTCCAGCCAAGGCACAGCGGTACAATATTTCCTGTAACTTGGATGAAGGTTGGCCAGGATTGTAACGAACTCCACAAGGCACTGAAATGTGAGCGTACTCTTATAATCAATTACCTTTGTGTTTGCTACCATTATTTATTCATATCTATACAACACGCCTACCCCAATTTAAATTTTTAATGTGCTCCCGAGCTGCAGGTACGCGCATGGTTACATCGATTGCATGCAAAAGTGTGCAGGTGACACGTGTAAACAAAACAGGAAGCAGAGCGTTGTATTGACCTCGCGCTGACATTTTGCCGGGTTTTGTAGAATTACAGACGAGTGGCCAATCGGGCCAATCAACATCTTAGTGGTTCCTGAAGTCAAATGACTGCGCTACCTATGGAAACAAGACAGTACTACCGCCCGCCGTGCCTATCAAAAATGAATTACCTTTTATAGTGATGCTCTCTTGCCTGAAATTCTGAGCACATTATGATTATGAAGATGTAGATGTTCCTCTATTAGGCAAGTCTGTGAAAACAACGTGCTGACGCAGAACTAATTATTATGATGCTATTACCCTATTGTTCCATACATCTATTGATCTGTAAGGAAATCTGGTAAAATTTTCCTTTATAATTAGATAACAAGCTGAAGGAGTTCGTACGTCTGCTGATACATCGCAACAAGGACCAGAGACAAGACTTGCAGAAAACCTACCAACAGAAATTTGAGCAGGTTAAACTTAATTGCTGGCGGCATATTTCGACTTCTAAAACACAGATTCGCAGACCTTTAGGTGGTATATACAGAAAAAAGGAAACTAAATAAATAACGCGCGAATGTCTGGATAGTAGAGATCAAATAACGTTTACTCTAATTCATGGCCTCTGACCTACGACATCAGGGCCCACCTGGAGAAGACCCAGCCAGTTACGGTCGCCTGGTATTGCATATTATTATATCATGTATTATGATATGTTCTCTGTCTGCACAAGCCCCATTCGTCTTGGCAGGACCTGAAGCAAGAGGTGAAATCGCATTTCTCCGGCTCGGCAAGGGACGCCATTATTGGCCTGCTGATGTCATCCGTGGAGTACGATGCGTTTTGGTTACACAATTCGATGTCAGGGGGCGCCACGCACGAGGCAACCCTCATCGAGATTCTAGCTACTAGAGACATGCAGGTATATTAGACATGTACATTGTAGCCCTGCATACGGGGACATGTTCAGGCCTGAGATCTCTTATTCACGACATCGAGTCTGGAGGTAGCTGCACAAGCAAGAAATATCTACCTTACAAATATATTGTAAAGCGTAATCCTCTTAGAATATTGATGATCTTTTACTCGTTATCGATATTGAAAGAAGGATGTTAATATATGTAGAAATGTTCCCGTTTACTTTATTCTTAAAGCAAACTTCAAAGAAAATTCTAACTTTGATTCTGATTTCATTTTATTTTCTCATACCAGGCATTAAGGGACATCAAGGAAAACTACCGCTGGGGTGAGTGAGTGTCTACCCCATATAGAATGATATAGTGATATAATATGATATATATATATATATGTGATAGATCCCATACAGAATAAAAGTATTGTTGGGGATTCTATACGATATTCCTTATTCAGTATGCGATTGCTATCGAATAGCTGACTTTTCGTTTGATAGAGTACAACAGCGATTTGGAAGGAGACATTGCGAAGGCAACGAAAGGGAACGTGCAGTGTCTAATGCTCGAGTTGGCAAAGGTATGATCAGGAAGAATACGTAGTGAACGGTAAATGAGATTTGGACAATTGCTGTTGTTGCAAACGTTTATCTTAATTAAAATAATATAACACCAAGAACGGGGCGAAATAACATCGTGCGTGTGTGTGTGTGTGTGTGTGTGTGTGTGTGTGTGTGTGTGTGTGTGTGTGTGTGCGTGTGTCGTGTGCGTGTGTGTGATGATTGGCGATACTGTAAGGGGGTCAGCAGACTGGCTGACTGTCACCGTCAACCGAGCGGATGCCAGGAGAGAGTGCAGAAAAGCCCGCAAAGGGATAAAACGAAACTAAAACCTTGTCTCGTCCATTAGTTTTATAAGAAATAATATTCTACAGTGCCTCCAGCATAATAACTAGTATGCTTTCTGCTGTTACTGTCACTTTCAACAGCGGAGGTGGATATAGCTTAGTGGGCGAATAGATACATATTGATTATTAAAATGGTATAACTTTCGCGAAACTCAGAACCATTTTACTCTTGCCTTCCATTTCATTCTAGATGCTCCAAATGTTGGCATTCATAGAGCTAAATTAAAAAGATGTACAAATATACTACCAGCTAATATAACTGCTATTTTTTACTACCATCGCTTTGATCTTGTTTTGTATTTTACTGCATTATTTCTTCTTTCAGGCTATGCACGGAAGCAAATCATCTAAAACCTCATCAACTTCTTTGCAAAAGCAGTATTCTCGCATAGTCAAAGAAACGCAGGAGC